AAAAAATATAAAATCGTGGTGGTATGAGACATCCATTAGCTCCATCTTTGTAAGATTTGTCTATCGGGTATCGCCTGAAACTACAAAAATTTTTATGGCGCTACGTATGAAAAAATTTAAAATTTTGTTTGCAAAAATAGTATCCTCACATCGCAAATGTATAACTTAGCTGTAAATTTGCTACAACTAGTAAAGAACTAGTCAATTTCAGACTATATAGTTCATATTTTCCTGATTTAATTGAAACTATTTCAAAGTAAAAGGTATAAACAGAAATTACAATATACGTTAATATAACTTGCGAGTAACTAGCAGGTATGGGACTAGTTACCGAATTTTGTGAAACGTAAAAAACAAAAAGCTACAAATTTTAGTTAAGATCTCCTTCACTTAACATATGACCATTCACGTAAACTTGCGGAAAAAAAATTCAATTTCCAAAATAATAAAAAAAAAATCCTACAGTGCACTTTTTGTCACATATAATAAGTATTTACTACTAATGCAACAAGAATTTACTCGCTATAAATGACATTATGTGTAAATGTTTGTGCATTTTGGCAAGCTGTGCTCTCGGTGGGCTCGACTTTTTTGTTCTTTCTATTTTTAAATTGATCACCAGCGACCGTTTAATCGGAAATTGTGAAAGTAGTAGCTTTACTTTTCATACAAGTGTTCGCATAAATTTGGATACATTACATATCTACATATGTATGTATGATACACATGCACACATATTTATGTACATACTGATATATGTACCGACATGTGGCGTTACATTTTATTTTAGTTTGCCTCTCAGGAAGTAATTGCGGTAACTATTTTCGTTTAACTAGGTACATACATTTGTAGAACACTCATCAACAGTATTTGAATATAGTCAATGACGTACAGGTGAGCTCTACTTGGTTATTGTTTTCATTTTGAATATATATGTGTAGTTATGTAATCTGTCGGGATCATTACCACAAATTGGATGAAATGCATACGTAGAGGCTTTCTTCTAGTGTTTAAATAGCTTTGTTGGTATTGCAGGTTAGAAAACTTTTACTATGTTGTCAAAACTTGTTTCGCTTTTGAGGGAATATGTTAATATTCATTGACCATTTTTTTTGGAAAAAATATTTCAAACTTAAGCATACATAATATTCAGCTGCAGAAAAATAAGAAATCATATAAAAATACCCTCAATATGTAAAGTAGAAACATATTGTCTTCTGCAAAGATTTCTTAAATTATTTTGTAGCCCTCAAGAAAAAAATTCTCGTATATCTATTTCCTCAAGAAAACAGTAACGGCAAAATACTTTTTAAAGCAACAGAAATAATGAAAAATATTTCTTGCGACTTTTCCTTAGCGCTGTATTCTAAGCTCAAGCCTCATAATTCATATTAGATTGCCACAACTCAAAAATAAAAGAATGTCAGAAAACAACTTTTTCGTATTGAACAAAAATTACTGATATTTAACTAACGAAGAATATAACAATGTATTAATCCAGAGCATTGAGCTGCCATTAAATCTTGCTTAGGTTTCTAACTTTTATTAAAAAGTGAAGGTTTTATTGTTAAACCGCAGGCAGATTATCGCGCCTGGCCTCATTCAACGTTAGAAGGAATGGGGCCACCTTTTTCACGCTGTAATACCGTCTTTTTACTTATACATACATATGTATGTCTTCTTGCTTCCCCAAGAAGTGACAGCAATTCGTCGTTCTGATGAAAGTTACAAATCATAGATGTCAGCTCTACTCAGTTCAGCCCGACGCTCAAGAAAGTAAAGCATAAATGTGGAAGTAGTGGTGTAGCTAAAACTCTATATTAGCGACTTCGTCTACATTGCTACAGGTTATGACCGAAGTCGTTCGACTGTAGAACCCTTATGTTGGCATGCCGTTTAAATATCACATGTCGGAGGAGTGGGCTATATGTTCTTCTATCTAATTTAGACCATCTTCTATTCGGCTCCTTCTACGGTAATCGATACCGAATTAAATAAAAAAAAAAAAAAGATTTCAGTGTATTATTTCTAGTAAGTAAGAGCATGATAAAAACATAGTAAGGTAAAATAGTTCTCTCAATTCGTCGGCCATGATTTTTTTTGAAGTTTGCCAACATTTTAAAATCATATAAAATTTAGAGTAAAAAAATGGAATTGTTCAAAGTTGTTGTTGTTTGAGATTGAAAATGAGAATGTGTGTGTGAGTTTGTGTGTAAAAATAAAATGGTTTGCAAACGTCAAAAATTTGAAAAATTCCTCTCAGCGGTTCTACCTTCCTATTTTTTTATCATGAGTAAGAGTAAATAAATCTAACTGTCAAGACTGAAAGCCAAAAATTCGATATTTATCCCAAAATCAGATATTTTTTACTTTAAGTTGTGCCATTTACAAACTCGTATGAGAGGTTAGTTCTCTTCAAAATTGACAAGACTGATTTTCGAGGTCTATTGTCTTTTTTGCATTGTTTAAACGGTCAATGGAGAGAACAATTCGTCAGTATTTTAACAGGGTAATTTTCAAGTTTTTCAGGCTAGTACTAAATACTCAATCAAAAAAGTTATTTTTTGAAGGAGAACACATATTGTACAGCGCCGGACAAAAGTATTGGCACAGAGAATTTTTTGCAATATATGCAAAGTTTTTTATTCTAATTTATTTCCGATAATTTTTTATGAAAATATAGTTCGCCCTACACCAAAAACATTTCCATTCGAGAGAATCTGCGGGTGATTTTCATGATCTACAACATGAGGATTCAATTGACGTCATGATGAGAATCTAAATGGTTAAAGGTGCTCTGGCAGTTCTTTTGTGAAAACAAAATGCATGTCATTATTCGCCACAGGCACTTCATAGCCTATTCACGCAACTGATTGTACTTTAAAACTGCAGACCCCATTCCCTAATCTAACGTGTAGAGATTCAACTTAAATTTTATACTAAAAATTTCGAAGCATAATTTAAACGAAAACTTTTTTCAACAAGTGTATACGTTTGTATGTGTGTATGTAAGTAGGTACACACATAGTGTTGCGAAAAAGCCATTGTGTACACGTTTTTGAAAACGGCACTTTTAACCAAATTTGTGTGATTTATTTATTTATGGTATGCAATAGTGTTATCTTTAACCCACGGGGTGGGCTAATAGATATGTACATACATACATGCATACATACATACATACCCAGCAAAAACTTTGATTCTTTGATACTGGTAATGCAGTGGGTAAACGAGAAAGTGAAAAATTTTGTCTTGAGGCGAATTGTAATGCGCTACTCGATAGATACAAAGAGTAAGCGCTTACTAAAACCAGAAAAGTTTTTGCTGGGTACATACATATTTTTTATATCGATGGTTTGACTTTTGTATCATTGTTTACCTTAGTTCTATGTGCATATATACATTTGTAGATATACTAGGTTCAAAGCAGTGGTCAGATAAAGGTTACCATTATTAAAAATTAGTGTATTCACGTTTGTTCCGAACTAGCTTGGGATGGAATTTCATGCTTTGGGGTTAGTGAAGACGTTCTGAAACTTAATAAATCTGCAGTTAGAGTTCTTACCGGCATCGTCACGGGTCACTGTGCTATTTCATCAATCCAACGATCTACAGAACCGGTCGATATGAGGATGAAGAGGAATAAATTGACCTTTTTCAGTGTCAGTGTCCGGGCCTACAGTTAAAACGCCTCAAGGACTTGGAACCACGCTTCTCAACAGTTTCATTTGGGATAACAATTCGTTCAGCAGGTTAATACCATGAAAAATATGCTAATTTCTTTCTGAATAGAAACCCCGATTAGGGGAATGTGGCTGCTCCTGGACACTCACTCAAAGAGGGCACCTTTTGATTGCCCTTTCTCTTTTCGTGTTCGATTCTAACTTAAAGGTAAAGGGTGAGAAAATTTTATGCTCGTTTCTTAAAATTTCACACTCTTATAACGCAAAAAAAGCACATTCTCTGCCCTTTAAAGCTTGGTCAGGGGAGATGATTGCCCTGAAAATCAGATGGTTATTTAAAACGACAATATTATGAAATGCGTGAACTAGACAAGGACAAGAAGGCAAAAACATGCCCTTTTACAGGGTTGAGTGTAACATTAAACACATTCTGCACCGGGAAAGGGCAACATTTTTAGGAAGAAATGAAATCACCATTAGTTTTTATTTACACGGCCCCTTGAGTACTTATGTGTTACTCATACGCCATGCTGCCCAAATATGCTTTTTTGAGATTTTTTACTACTTAATTCAAAACATTTAATTTATTAATTTTTGCTTATTTATATACCACATTGGCAACCTCTACCTGGCCACTACTGTACACTTGCGAAAATGCAAAATTGTACTATGACTGTGATTTCTAAGAACTTGACACAATTGTGTCCCAGGTTTTTGTTTTTAGTTTGCTTTTGATATCCAAAGGCTTTGAGAACAAATTCTCATTTGGCAATTTACGACTTTGTACGCATTTCGGAAATTCGTAATCAATGCACTAGAGCTACATATGCATGTACATACATACATATCGCACACCGTCTTCAAAAGAGTCACAACTCAAAGTTTGGAACTTTTGAGATTTTGCGCTAAAAATGTACACAGAGTTTTTATTTAGCTTTCAGCAAAATCTGGAGCAAATTTTTGTTATAATTTGTTAAAAGACCTAAGGTAAAGTCGCCCTTGCCCATATGATTATCATGTGCTAAGAATAGTTTTTCGCATTTTCTGACAAACGTATTATTTTTAGTTGTGACTCTTTAGAAGACTGTGTGCGATATTAGATAACTGTAAGTACTAAATGATAAGAAGGTTTGTATTCCGCATAAATTTGTAGTTAGCATTTCTAAAAGTCCCTTTTTTTTGACCTCGAAACTTGCGCCAACCCAGCTGCAGAATTCGATAAAGTCATTCACCTTACATATAGCATTTCGTGCAATAAAAGCTATCGTTGAAATAATTTTTTTTTACACACATACATACAGAAGTATTTGTACTTACTATTGGGCATCTTCGGTGGCGCTGTAAAGGCGGTAGATAAAAAAGAAAGAGAAACAAAAAATGTTCATCAATTAAATAGTTAACCTTTTTGTATGATTAAGAATTTGACAGTGCAAACTTTTGATATTGTTGTCATTTGTGTTTTATTTGAATTTTTTTAATGTGCCTGTCATATACTACCACTCGTACAAGTTAGATGCAATTTTCGAAGCAACTTACGTCATTAATTATAACCTCAAAGTTTTAAATTAATCCATGCACACTAGGGTGGTTTTTAAAACATCAACGTTCAAGTCTTGTATAGGAATCGCTTTATTTTGTTTACGAACAAAATAAGGACATCGAGGAAAATAATTTTAAAATTTTAAAATGGTAGGTTAAAAGTATTAATTTTTTAAAATCGCAAATTTTGACTAAATTATAGTTTTGACCAGCCATAACTCAGCGAGTTTTGGTGAAGTATTTTAATTGTCTTTGCAACGAAGTACTTATCTTATTAATTTTGAATGAAATCACAAACCGAAAACACACTCAAATATCATAAGAACAAGTAAGATTTAAGCAAAAAACAAAACCCAATTCAATTCCCATATAAAAATTTCAGATCATCGTTAATTTCTTCAAGATACAATGAGTTTCTTGTTTTTTTTTTCAAAATTACAAAATAATTGCCAGGAGTCGTTCTCCTGTACATACTAAATACATGAGCTCCTTTTGTTTTTTTTTAATAATTTTTTGTAAGCCAGCGTTCTTTAGAACTGTGTAAAACTATGCACTTTTTCTAAAAAAACTGATCATCTTCAATTACATCTTTTAAACTTTGGTAGCGACCTCTAAAATTTGTTTGAAAATTTCGTTTAAGTCCTTAGTTTGTACATAAAAAAAGGGGGGGTGCAACACAAAATTGATATGTTTAATAACATAGCCATATCGTCGTCCAAAATACAAAACGTGAATCGTTCAAAACCCCGTAACTGAAATTTGTGCCAACAACAAGGGCCTGGCATCAGGCCCTATCCATAGGTAGATATTAAAAAAATTATAAAAATGCGTTTTGAGCTCATGAAGTTCATGCTAACTCTCCCCTCCTATACATACGTAAGTTTCTTAGTATTTTTTTTTTTTTCAAAATTACAAAATAATTTTAAGGAGTTGTTTTCCTACATATAATCGTACGTACATGAGTTTGTTGGTATTTTTTTCCAGAGTTTTTGTAATGCAGCGTTTTTTGGAACTTAGGAAAAATTAAAAAATGTTGCACTAATGACAATAATATGTCAAAATTATAAAATCTAAACAGTTTTGTTTAAAATTTTTGTGCATAGAATAAAATAAAGGGGTGTCCCATACAAAATTCATATTTTTAAATACCATCCTAATGCACACACCGAGGCATGTGTTCAAATATACATGTTTATCAAATTGTATGTAACTTTAAAAAAATTGAAACGTGAGGTAAATTTTATATATAAATAGGCAATCAGGTTTCCTTTTTTTATTTTTAATTTCACCTTTGCGCAGTACAAAGCGAAAAAATCAATTAAAAAGTGACACCAATACCAATGCCATACATGTATGTACATGGTTCGGCCGGACACGCCTCCTAAATGTATGCTTCAATATTCATACTGAATTACAAGAAACGTGCTAAGCAGCAGTTCAGGAATGAGATTTATGTAGATTAATTCATTCAATTCATGTAAGGGAGAAAGAAAAGTTGAGTATGTAGAAGAAGAAAGGGATAAAGGCAACAATTAACATATAAGTAAAGAATGCTAAAGATAAAAACACAGAGAAAGGTTAATTTAATTAAAGACAAAGGTGTGGGTGTATCTATGTATAAACAAGGATAAACGAAAAGATAAAGATAAAGATAAAGTTAAAGATAAAGATAAAGATAAAGACAAAGGTAAAGATAAAGATAAAGAT